GTGTGCCTGGACGACAGCTGACTCAAGTTGACTCATATCTGTGGTGCCTTTAAACACCTTGCCAGTGACCACTTGGACAGCAGCCGAAAGCCATTCATGTCGAAATCGGGGGGCACAAAATACATGGTTTTCGTTTGGCTTCCCTTTTGCACCACCCAAAAACGAGCCCTCAAAAGGCACACTTGACGTTCAGGCCGAACATCTAGCAAGGTGATTTGGTAGAGATGTCATTTGGAGGATTCGCTTCTTAGTCGCCGCTGGCAAGGATTGCGTTTCTCCAAATAGGAATCGGTTTCCAATGGTTTCCTTTTGGCCTCCCTTTCCTTTGGCTACCCAAAGGGGTGCACCACTTTGAGAAAGCCAAGAAAGCCGCAGTGCATGGCTGCCGTGCGGCTCTGGCTATTTTTCCGCGCACCGAATTTGATCCTCAGTACATTGTCCTGCGTTTGCAATGCGCTTACAAGCTCCTGGCGGTGCCAGGGTAGCGATCATCATCATCATCGCTGGCCGCACCAGATGGCCCCGGCGGGAAGCGAAGGGAGCGGAAGGGGTTTGTCCTAAAACCCCTTTCTGCCTCCTTGAGGTCATCCTCCGTTTCCTCTTCGAAAGTTGGCATTGAGGATTCTTGTGGCGTCCGCTTGGCAAGGACGTTGGGCTCAAATGGCCAGGAATCACACACGTATGGGTTGGCCACTGCCGTGCCAACATCAAACATCTCCTCCGTGTCGTCATCCTGGCTGTTCAGAATGGAGGGCTTGCCAATCTCATTCAAAATCTCTATGGGACAATGACTGGAAGTGGGACCCCTTATGTAGTCCCCAACAGGGATTGCCTTTAAACCGAACCTTGCCCAGTTGGACACAATAAAGACTCAATAAAGGGAGCCCTTTGGTGTAGAATCCCGTCATGTCCCTTTACTTCCCTCATTCCAGGTCCTCAGGAGTGAAAAGGCAAACCCTTCAAACAACCCAGCCTGTAGTGAGGTTGGCTGATGTACCAGCGCCACTTCCCCAGCCCGATGCCTCGCGATGGCCTCCTTACCACCACAGGCGGAGATGCGCTCACTCCTCAGTTGCTCCAACCCTGGCATCCTTTCGGGCGCAAGTTTTGTAGGCTTGATGGAAAACACTTTCGTGCAGAAAGGCCTAAAATCAGGGGCAATTTGGTCACGAGCCAAGGCTCTGCAAGTAGAAGGCTCGCTGCTGCTGCGCGAGGCTTTGATAGTACTTGGCATGTTGCTTCTGCTGGGCGGCATCTTTTGCCATGTCCTCCACCCGCTCCTTGCGCTTCGCCAAATGGATCTCACAGATCTGCTCCAACTTCTTGGGATTTGACACCAGCGTATCCTCACTTGCCCCAAGGACCCAGAAACAAAAGGCTATCGTTTCTCGGGGCCTTGGGAAACCAACAGGAACCCGACATTTGTTTTTGCGGGGTCCCTAAACAAGGACACTCACATGAACCAACAAAGGGAAACCAAAAGGTCAAACGGTCGATTCGCCTGAGGATCTAACTGTTCCTTGGCTTCGGCTGCCTGGACCGTCCTCTCATCGCGAGCGGACTCACACACCTTCAGTTGTTCCGTGAGGGCCAGAATCTGCTTGGTGCGCGAAGACAGGGACTGCTCCTCGGATTTCCAGCGGGGAAAAAAGTTGCGCTTGATTTTTATGGGAAATCCTTCCAAAGGAAACACATGTATAGGGAACAACATGAGGGAACAACATGAGGGAGACCCCTCCCAAACGAAGATCAGCGTAGGCGACCCCTGCAATTCGGAGAAGCTGCTCCGAACCCCAGATATTTCATCAACCCCAAAGCTCCCCTCAGCTGAGGAAAAGTGCAAATTCAACTTTCTGGGAGGTGAGGGCAACCCAAAAACGAACGCACCACTTCTTCGCCACTCAAATGGTCAATCCAAAGGCGGGGCGCCAGGGAGGCCAGGGTGGCGCGCAAAGTGGTGCCCTCCATGACCAAGGCCTCGTCTTTCTCCGAGGGCTCAGCTTTGCCCACCTCGAGCCAGGTGAAATTGGAAGCTACCCGGGCAAAGGCTGGGGCGCTGAGAGAAAGCAAAGGAAAACGACAAGGAGACCAAAAGGCAACCGACCGTTCTGGCTGCATCGGGGATTGATTCCCTCGTTTTGGGTGGAAAATCCGTCTGTTTTTCTAGGCAAGCCACCTGTCTGTCTGAAGGCCCATAGCTGGTGATCGGTTTTTTGGAGCAGCGCTTGGCTCTCCGCAGGGCCTTTGCCACGGTTTCACACAGCGCCTTGGTGTCTGGCGCGCTTGCGCGAGAGGCGCTGGAGGCTGGCGAGGGCTCGTCATCTCCGTTCGGCGCGGCCTCCAGGGAGTTGCAGAGCGCCTCCACCTCTTCCCGCAGATTCTTGAGGCGATTCTGCATGCTGGTGCGCAAGACATCGTCGAATTCCGCCTTCAAACGGCGATGGATTTGTGACGGGCCAACCCCATCTTCATGGCTGGTGCCATTCACCGGGCCAGCCATCACCGAACGAATCGCCAAGCGAGCTTGAATCTCAGGAGTCGCCGTCATGGCGCCATGTGCGCGACGGTGATAACCCTTCGCGCTTGAATTGCTTGTCAGTTTGATTGCTGTCTGGTCAATCTAACCATCATGCGCCCTCCCAAATTGAGAGCAGCTTGCATTTCGACACGCACTAAGCCACCCACGCCCTTGTTCAGGAGCCAGATTCAAAGCAGGGCAGAGACTGGCCAAACCCAAGTGTAGCCTTGCATGTGCCATCAATCATGCCCTATCAACGACCTGTCAATGCTGAGCCACCTTTTGGCAGTGAATGTTTCATACACAAAAGCCAAACATGGATACACATGTCCGTTAGGGACCCTTTTGTTTGGTGCAACTGTTGATTCCTGCAGTTTTCACAAGGTGTCAAACTTCCCTTGAGCACAACAAAATACTAACTGAATGAAGCACTGCCTGCCTGGCTTTCTGCGCGCCCACCTGCCAAGCTAAAATGGCCGTCGGATGAAAACAACAAGATACATTTCCAAGACCCCTGCCGATTCTTCCTGTTAATTTGTGAAAAAGTGTGGCTAGAAGCAGCATCGTGTCGGCTGCCAAAATAGATGACCCACGTTTGCCAACGTGGCGCTTGCGTCAACAACAGTGAGTCAACTCTGAAAAAAATGATTGAAACGGGTACGGTACGGCCGACGCAACTATGAAAGCGCATCAGTCCGGACAAATTTAATTTTGGAGACCAGTTACTACACCATTTTCTACTGAGTTACTGGTTAAAACAATTGGTCCTCAGTGCAACCGCGGACAGGTGATGCGGTGTCTGAGACTTTGCAGGAAGAGGGGGCACTTTCCTGGCAAACGCGGATCAAGTGCACTTTCCTGACGCACAAGTATGGATCCTGATGTTGCTATGGTGGCAGATACATTTTCATTTTTAGCGCTGGCCACTAGAGCCAACGCTATGGACGCACACCTCCGACAATGGGGATTGGTGTTGTCAATCTATAAGACCGAGGCAATGACTACTGCCCCGAGCAACAAGGGCCAACTGTTATGGACACAAAAAAAGGCTTCACTTCTGCAAGCAGTTTGACTACCCAGAAGTCCGGTAGTGGCGGACCCTGCTGTCCGACAGCGCTTGGACAAGGCGCGCAAGGCCTTCTGGGCCTTGAACAGCTCGGTTTGGCGGTCTACACTCCGGTGTGCCGCGCCCGTGCGCTGTTGGTACTGATGTATGGTGCGGAAGTTTGGACGCCGTCTGGTCCTGTGCGGAAACAACTCAAAAAGTTCCACACGCAGCGCTTACCCAAACCCTCTAAGATTGGAAAAAAACAATTCTTGCGCTTGGTTTTTTGCATTTTTCATGGTGCGCTTGAAATCTTGGTTTAAGGCTAATTTTCCATGATTTTGATATTGAATTGTGATGATTTCAATCTCGGACTTCATAGAATATTCAATTCCCGCGCTTGAAAAATGACTTTTGGCAATATGGCTATGAATTTTTTTAGGGGTCTGTAACGCGCGACGCGGCACGGATCTTGTTACGGAGGTCTGTAACGGAGGTCCTGGTTACGCAGGTCTGTAACGGGAAAAAACATTTCCTGACAAGCAGAATCAGGAGCACATCAACACAAGCCAAGCTGCGGCAACAAGCAGAGTCGCTGGCCCGGGCCGGGGTTGGGTCTGTAACGAGGTATGTGACGGCTATGTAACCAGGCCTGTAACGAGGCAAAGCAAAGCGCAGTACGCAAAGCACCAACTATTCAACGCAAGCCAAGCTGCGGCTGGTTGGGTCTGTAGCGAGGTATGTAACGGCTATGTAACGAGGTCTGTAACAAGGCAAAGAAAAGCGCAGCACGCAAAGTACGCCTCCGCAGCTCTATTCAACGCAAGCCAAGCTGCGGCAAAAAGCAGGGTCGCTGGCCCGGGCTGTGGTTGGGTCTGTAACGAGGTATGTAACGGCTATGTAACGAGGTCTGTAACGAGGCAAAGCAAAGCACAGTACGCAAAGCGCCTCCGCAGCTCCAGCTTGATTGCAGCTATTCAACGCAAGCCAGGCTGCGGCAAAAAGACGTCACTGGCCCGGTTTGTTCATCTGAGGTGTGTAACGAGGGTGTGTAACGAGGGTGTGTAACGAGGGGTGTGTAACGAGGGGTGTGTAACGAGCCAGCTGGTCTTGTTACAGAGGTCTGTAACGAGGTCTGTAACGAATGTCCGCCGCGGCTCTGCTACAGACCCCTCAAAAAAAGTCACTGCCATATTGAAATTGATGAGTATGCACATGGCCAAAATGGCTGAAATATGCCATGCTCAGGATCGTAGTGAAATGAGTTTGAGAGGCTGTGATATGCATCCCAGCAACGCATTCCAGCCCATGTGCTCAGAAGAACATCCTTTGCTTTTGGCATGTGTTGGATTGCATGGGGGAATCATTTGTTTGAGGACCAAGCCTGCCTATAGGTAGTTGGCTGCAACCCCGCCATGGGGAAGTTGGGTGTCAGCCAGAAGCACCAAAGGTGAAGAGGTTGCCCACACCAACTTGCAGCAAAGCCTTGCTGGTGAACAACCTCATGGAGCACACCAAGAAAGAAGGCACCTCTTTCGGTGCTGTTGAACAATGCTGTCAAAGGTGCTGGCATTGGAGGCATTGATCATGTCTTTGCTGGCTGTCAGCAAGAGTGGCCTGTTCAATTACACAGATCTCAAAGAGGCTGTGAAAGAATGCAGCAACCAATTCCCAGTTTTGTCAGACAGGGCAGATGGGCGGGGGTGGCAAGCAGGATCCTGGTTGTGATGGCCCTCAGAAGGATCAAGAACAGCAAGGTGAGGATGTGGCAAGCCCAGAGCAGCCTGCAAGGCTGGTGCAAGACAAGGGACAAGCACTGTGCCTGCCAAGAAGGCAGCAAAAAAGAAGAAGATGGCAAAGGCTAAGGCCAAGGCTCTTGCCATTGAGGAAATATGTTCAAAATGCAGTTCAGGCCATTCTTCCAAGGAACCTGCTGCTGAGGGAGAAGGCTGCTCCAAGATCTACCTGGCCAAAGCCAAAGGCAGGACATACCTGCAAGTTTTGGAGGGTGGCAAAAGGAAACACTTGGTTTGCATCAATGAGAAGCAGAGCAAGTCCCACTTCAAGATCATGAACAATCCACCATGGAGGAGATGGGCAAGCTTGACCAGGGGACAGCAGTGTCCCTGAGAGACGCTTTGCTTGCATAGCAACACAGTGCCTGCAGGGCAGCATTTGTTTTGGTGCGCAATGCACCTTTCATGCTGGAGCAAAGGGGGGAGGGCTAGCATTACTGCAGTTTGGGGCCAGAGCCTGCACATGGTGGGAAATGTGTCAAGCTTGCTTTGGCTGCGTCCTTGGATGTAATATTTACTCCACAATGGTGGCAATTGTGGACCTGGCCAGGGAGCACCATGATGCAGCTGATGAGAAAAGCCAGCACATGCTGGCTAGGATTTGCCATTTGTCCAAGCTGTATGACATCATGCATGCTCTGGACTTGTGATTCCTGAGGCTCCCCATCGACAAATGGTGGAAGGTAGTGACAAATTCCTGCTGCATTACAATTGGCTGTCCAAGGCAGCAATTCGGAACAAGACCAAGATGTGGTCAGTTGTTCCCAAATTCCATTACCATTATCATTTGACTGAAGGCTTCTGGCATCAACCCCAGGTTTTTTGGTGCTATGGTGGTGAAGTCCTTGTTGGTAGAGCCAGCACCCTGTGCCACAGCTGTGTCAGAGGCACAGCTAATCATGACGTTTCTGCAAATTTGCTGGAGAAGTACAGGGTGGCAATGCATTTGAAATGGACCAGGCTAAGGTGAAAATTACTTGCAGCTGCTTGACTGTGTGTGCATGCGCATGTGTGTCCTGTGCTTTGTTTTCTTGCTTCGTAGCCACGCAGATGTTCCAGACCAAACGGAGTTCCATGGCAATTAGATTGGCTGAGGCATGCCATGTTGCTTGACTGGGCTGGGCTTTTGGAGGAGATCTGCTGGGGAGGATGGTTGGATCCGGGTTCCATTTGGCTGCAAGATGCAATTTCAGGAGACAGCTTGCTCTTGAAATTTCATGAGAGCCACTCTTGAAAATTCAGGGCAATACCTAATATTGATTTTTGATAAAAACAATCTCTCAATATTGAAATGCCTGAAATTCAAATGCTTTTCATGGTGCGCTTGGTTTTTTCAATCTTAGAGGGTTTGGGTACGGCGGATTTCCGGGCGGGCTCTTCGCTGGCAGTGGGAAAAGGGGGCCTCAGCACTCAAGATACCCAAGTTCCCATTTTCAATTAATTAACCTGGAGCCGTCAAACTGCTCATTCCGGCAGCCCCAAACCCCTCAGCATGACCCTGTATTTTTTCGTGGCCCAGCAATACGCAGCACCTCCGGATCCCGCGTAGGCGCCCCGCTCAGCAGCAGGCCTCTGAATGGGGAACCGCGCGCGCGGCTTGGATGCCGACAACACGGTTGCCTGAACGATTGCTGTTCGGGCGGTTACTGGAAGGCGTTGGCACTCCCCGGCTCCCGGGCTTGCTCTCGGGTATTCAACTCCGGGATGCTTTTGCTAAGGAGCTTTTGGCTGTAATCCGCCGCGTCGCATTGCGGAGGGCACTATGGGTGAGGGCAGCAAGAAGCCACGAACGCCTTGTGGCTTTGAGAGCTGAGAAGGGAAATGAAAATGTGGCGGCTGCGCACCCAGAGGGGGCGCAATCCAGGGCTTCGAAGCGGGAGACCCGGAAGATGATTAACGATTGGTGGCAACGGACAGCTGCGTGTATCCAGGCCGTGGTGGATGCCGAAGGGCAAAACTATCAGTTTGCGGGTTTCAGGGAGCTGCGGCGTGTGTTGCGCAGTGCCACGAAGCGGCAAATTTGGAGGATGCCGAAAGGAATTGGATTCACGATGAGCCGGGCAAACTCCAACGGTGGAAGGGGTGTTTTGAGGAACTTCTGAATGCCTGCACCTGCGCAGGTGGCGCCGGAGATGCTTGCA